ATATATAAAACCCTGAAAGAGAAAAATTTTCAACCAAGAATTATATACCCAGCAAAACTGTCCCTCAAATATGATGGTGAAATTAGGAGATTTGCAGATAAGCAGAAATTAGGGGAATTTGTTAAAACCAGACCAACCTTACAAGAGATACTAAAGGGAGTCCTTTGAACAGAGAACCAAAAGTAGCAAATAACAACCAACCATTAATACATAAGATGATATAACCCAGAAGCCACAGCTATGGACATATCCAAAGTAAAATAAGCTTACATGATTGTAAACAGGGAACCAGAGACATCAATTGCAAGTGAGGACCACTACAAAAACAAAAAAGAGGGAAAATACTATGTATTTATAGAACTTCTAAAGGGTGAGGAAGTCAAGAGAGTTGCAAGATAGAATGGACTGTTCTAATCTTGGGGAGAAAATTATAAATCACAGAATAACCTCAAAGAAAAATGATAAACTTTCCCATCACAATAAAAAAGAGGACAAGCACAAATATTCAGCAGGTACTAAAACAACAGCAACAAAGGAAACGATAACACAATTCATAAACATAATGAGCTCAGCACAGAAAATAATATGGAATAAAGAAAGCAGGGACACCATGAAAACACAACAAAATGACAGCAAACAATTCCTACTTGTCAATAATTACACTGGATGTTAATGGATTAAACACACCACTCAAGAGACGGAGAGCTGCAGAGTGGATAAGAAAACAAAACCCATAAATATGCTGTCTACAAAAGACACACCTTAGAGACAAAGACAAAAATAGACTAAAAATCAAAAGTTGGATAAAGATATATCAAGCAAAGAATGAGTGAAGTAAATCAGATGATGAATGGCAAACAGAAAGTTTATATGTATCCATTTACTCAAGGAGATACTTAAGCCAATGGTTTAGGAAGGTAAATCTGCAGGTAAATCAGCCCACTCTGACCATGGTGGGCTAGCCTGGAGAGCAGTGGCAGTCAGGAGTCAGCAAGGTTTGTAAGGGTTGGCCTGCAGGGTTGAGGGCTTGTGGGATGGCCATGAAACTGGTCTGGAGAGGGTGGATGTGAGTGACATCAGGAAGGAGGAATGCTTCATTGGTCTACATTTATTGGTCCTTACATTATCTCATTTAACTCTTCAAAAAAATGATGCAAAGAGGGAATTATCCCATTGTACAGATATGAGCAGATATGTGCTTCTCCTACTCTGCCTTGATGTTGGTGTGGGGGGGTACCCATGAAGAAGGCAGGGGGCTGGGAAGGAGGGGGAGAAGGGAATGTGATCATTCAAGGTTTGAACAACTGTTTCACCCTTCAGGCATTACAGGGATATATGCAATATGATCAAAGCCTTTGAAAAAGTTTGACTGTAAAGAAATTCATTGTTCTTAAAATATGAAAGGAAAATATTCTGTATTAATACATGTTTAATTAAATGTCTAAAAAGGGTAGCATGTTAATGCAGCAATAATGACTCATTTCAGCTCTTATATAGTTAGTTATATGGAGCTCTTGTGGCACAGTGGTTAAAGTATTCAGCTGCTAACTAAAAGGCTGGTGGTTCAAACATATCAGCTGCTCAACAGGAGGAAGATGAGGCAGGCTGTTTCCATAAAGATTTACAGCCTTGGAAACTCCATGGTGCAGTTTCTGTCCTGAAAGGGTTGTCATGAGTTGTCATTGACTCCATGGCAGTGGGTTTTTGGTATAGTTATTTATTAATGTGGGATGTGGGAGCATTTGGATATGGTTGATAGATGTGATGGCACCTCCAAACATAAGTGTGTGTAGGTCTGCAAAGGTCATAATGCAGACCTAGGCTCTGAGTGAGGACAATGAGAGAATGATGGCAACAGTGTCTGAAATGTAAAGGGAGAGAAAACTGGAGAACAGGAACAGTGTTTTAAGTGTCTAATTGCTGAATCTTCATGTTTATTTCAAAATATTTCAATGCATACCCATTCTTTCTGGGGATCCCTAGACTATATGCCTTACAAATATCATCTAGTTTACTAAGACTAACTGAGAATAGTCCATATTCTCAGTATAAATAAACTCCATGTTTTCCTTCACCATTTCCTGGCTGCCATATTCTTCTCTTGAGTGAAAGAAGATCTTGAAGATGGTAGAAGTTAACCAAGGCCTATCTAACCCAAGGAGGGGTCGCTATGAGTCAGGGCCAACTCGACAGCAAATAACAACAACAACATCTCTTAGAAATGAGGCATATTTTGGAGATGACTTTGCCTACTAGGAGTTGCCAGAGATGAACTGAATTGTCATACTATGTTTAGTACAATTAGTTACAGATCCTATGCATTTTGTCTTTCTTTGCTTAGCTACTTCTAATTCTTTTCAAAGGATGTTAGTTAAAAAATTTTTGTTATTGATGTTCAAGACTTAAATTTCAGACAAGTATCTTGCTTCTTGAAATACTGAAGAGTTGTCTTTCAGAATTACACAAAGCCATATAACAGAAGACAGGAGAAAACTATGTCAACTGGGCATCTGAAAATACACACACATACCTCCATTGGACATTTATTCTGGCAACATCCATTGGAAACTGACTACAGAAAAGACATCTGTTTGTGCACTGCGGCATAGTAAATTACCTGGTATGGCTTTTCTAGTCGTAAGCCTTTATAAACTCCATGGTGCAATTTGCCGTGAGCAACTGAGAAGCTCCTGATTGTGAAAGTTATCCACCTGGGGTATTTCTGTTGGGAGTGGCACAAAGTAATGTTCTGGGAGGTTCGCTCTCTCTCAGGTGTTTAGAATTCTGATGTTATGATTGGCTAGTTTGGCCGCTCTACCAGGCTCAAAAGGAGGCCTCCTAGTGGCAGAAGGCTCTCTCTGGCTGCTGGCTGAGAACATGCTGTTGAGAGAAACGCGCTCCTGAGAGACATGCACTCCTGAGAGACATGCGCTGCTGGGAAAGAGATGCAAGAGACACGCATTCCGAGAGAGACACCAAGGGACATGCACTACTGGGAGACAGACCATGAGAGACTGTTGGCTGAGAGAGACTGAGCGTTGTTCTTTAACTTGAATTGTAGCCTGGTGCTTCCCTAATAAACCCCATAATCTGTGAGTTCTGTGTGGCCACTACGGTGAATTATCGAATCCAGAAGAAAGGTGGTGAGTGCTGCAGGAGGAATGGTTGGTGTCAGGGTTGGTGAAAGGGCTGGAGGGAGGCAGCATGTCTGGCCTTGCAGGAATAGGCCTTGGGCTACTGATGATGATTCTGTCTTCCTCTTGTGAGGTTAGAGGAGGTCAGAAGATGTGGCCTCCTTGCCCCTTTGGCATGCACTTTGCATGTGTGAATTCATTTAACAAATGAATAAATCAACAGTCAAAAAACAAAACAAAACAAAAGACCTAACATTATAGATAACCCTGCCTCTTTTAAAGTAATGTTGCCAAAATTAAGTTCCATAAAAATGAAATCTTACTTTAAATGGATTTGAGAAATATTTAAAATACTTTTTGTGACAAAGTCAAAGTCTTTTACAATATTTTGTTCATATAAATTTGGAATTAACAGCATTTATAATAGTAATTTAATTTGGCAATTAATCAACAAACATTTCTAGGGCTTTTACCGTATGTACAGCTAGTGATGCAAAAGTATAAGACATGACCCTGACCTTAAGAAATGTACTACCTAAATGAAGACTCAACACTAATATTAATATCATCAAATAACCCACTGCCCTTGAGTCAATTCTGACTCATCAAGTAAGAGATTCTTTTAAAGGAAAAAAAAAAAAAAAAAGGAACCAAACATATTATGGAATGTAACTGAAAGAGGTTTTTCTTTGTTTACTGCAGCCAGTAAAGCACTGTAGGATTTCAGCAGGTAGACCGACTCCTTTAAGGCAGGAGCAAATCTGGATTTGCATGGGCTGAGAAAAACTTTGAAACAAGAAAAAATAGGGGAAGATTAAAAGTGGTCTAACATCTATGAGGCTGGACAACCTAAAATATTTGACCATTTTTGGCCAACAAAAAGAACAATTTCGTGATTTGACCGACAGCAAAAATTAATGTGGACTCAATTTTTACTGTTATCCTACCCATGAACAAAGGGTTCAAGAAAGTTAGATAGGCTAACAATACCAAGGAGTAACTGCTTCAAAACAAACTTTCTGTGCAACCAAATTATTTTAGAAATACTTTTCTTTATATTTAAAGCAGAATATGCCCATTATAAATCACTATAATATCTACTGATCCCCAGACTTCTACAAATTTTTATACTTTAGTTTAATTTCATTTACTTTACCTTAAAGTTGTAAAACTTGCACTTCAAAAAATACTTTTAATTCTAGATTTTATAAAGGTTGACCCTCTGTTGGGCAACCTACTTCTGTAGTGATACTGCGTTGGCAACCCAAGGAGGAGTCGCTATGAGTCGGGGTCGACTCGATGGCACATAACAACAACAACAACATTGCAATTGTATTTAACTTCAAGAAATTCAGGTCAGATATTTAAATACCAAATCTTGAAACAACCTTTACTGTCTTCTGGTTAGAATTCAAGTTCAAAAAATCAAGGAGCTCTTTTGAAGTTCAAAGACATCAAAATTCTGTATTTTGTTAACTATTTCAATCAGCATAATAATATGCCAAATCTTATTTGACATTCTACAGATTAGGTATTTTGTAATTTTTAAGTAAGAATCTTTACATTGTGCTACTACAGTTGGTCACTCTCCTTTTGCAGGCTCTATTTTCTCAAGTTCTATCTAAGCAAGAGTCTTAATTATTCTATACGTAATAGAATCTCAGCCTGCAAACACTGAATATTGCTTTTAAAAGTTAGTGTATTTATTTGTAATGGCTTATCCAAATGCAAAACTCTATCTACATTATAAACAAAAGTGCTCCTCCCTCTCTCATGGAAAACAAAGTGTTCTCTCCAGCTTTCCCACTTAAAAAAGAAAGACTTATTTGTCCCTAGTGATTAAATCAGATACAGTTTTATATTTAAAAACAAATGTTTGGGTCTTTGTATTTTGAATTCAGCTTTATTGAAGGGGCTGACATTAAACAAATAACATATCTGGGTATTTTTACCTCCCTCCTCTCCCCGACCTCAGATTACCTGGTTTAATTACAGCGTTATCTGTCACATGAAAGATTTTAATTTTCTGCTTTGGCGGTAATCCAAGTTCTTGGTAAAATTCCAATATGGATGGAGATTTCTAAAGAGAAAGGAACACATATAAGTAACATACTAAGTACAAAGCAAAGAGTACCTTGCTCCCCTATGGAATGGGGGGGGGGGCGAGGCTTTTATTTATAACACAATTCCAATTCTATAAACAAATAATCTTATTACTCAGGATCATATCATTTTCAGTGTCTCAAACATAATACCCTGGAAGACAATTTCTGTTCTATAGGAAAAGAAACAGAGTTGTGTCATTTATGCCCTTTGACATAAACAACTTTCTTCTAGGAAACTATGAGAAGGAATTATTTCTGAAATATGAACAAAGATTTATGCTCAAAAATGTCCACACCATTATTTTGCTACTCTGAAATTTTATATCACCCTTTGAGGGGTTATACATATCATACATTTTTACTGCAGAAAACATACAGAACTATGAGAAAAAAAGTTCACTATACCCTTAAAAAACACTTGGGATCATATGCTTGGGGCTTCATAGCTTTTTCTTCTTCCATTTTAAGCATTGTCCCATGATTTTTCCCAAAGTCATTACATATTCTTCTAAGACACAATCTGTAGCTGTTATGTATTTCATTTAGAGCTATTCCTGACTTTCTGTAGAAAGAAATTCATGTCAAAGTAGCAGCTAACACCAGAACTAATGAAAAACCTTGACCTTTTTGCCTGTTTACTTCAAGCACCTCCAAGTCCAGAACTCCCGTGACATTTCTCATCCTGGAGACTCTCACTCCTTTATGTTTTTGTTAGCTACTACTGAGTTGGTCACCAACACATGGCAACCCCATGCCATACAGAGTAGAACTGCTCCATAGGGTTTTCCTGGCTGTAATCTTTATGGAAGCAAACAGTCAGGCTTTTCTTCTATGGCTCTGCTGGATGGGTCTGAACAACCAATCTTTCGGTTAGCAGCCAAATGCAAACTGCTTATGTCACCCAGGCTCCCTTCATGCCCTTATAGCTCTGCTGTCGCTCGGTGCTGTCAAGTCGGCTCAAACTCATAATGACCCCATGTACAACAGAACAAAACACTGCCCGGTCCTGTGCCAACCTCAATCCTTGCTATACTTGAGCCCAGCACTGCAGCCACTGTATCAATCCATTTCATTAAGGACCTTCCCTTTTCTGCTGACCTTCCACTTTACCAAGCCTGACACCCTTCTCCAGGGAATAGTCACTTCTCACAAGATGACCAAAGTAGGTGAGACGAAGTCTGGCTATTCTTGCTTCCAAGGGGCATTGTAGCTGCACTTCTTCCAAGGCAGATTTGTTCATTCTTCTGGCAATCCATGGTACTTTCAGTATTCTTCACTAATACCACAACTCAAAAGCATCAACTCTTCTTTGGTCTTTCTTCCTCACTGTCCAGCTTTCATATGCATATGAGGTGATTGAAAACACATGGCTTGAATTAGGCGCATCTTAGCCTTCAAAGAGACATCTCTGTCTTCAGCACTTGAAAGAGGTCTTTCGCAGCAGATTTTCCCAATGCAATACGTCATCTGATTGTTTGACTGCTGCTTTCACTGGTGTTGTTTGTGGAACCAAGTAATATGAAGTCTTTGACAACTTCACTCTTCTCTCCACTTATCATGATGCTGCTTATTAGTCCAGTTGTGAGAACTTTTGCTTTATGTTGAGGTGTAATCCATACTGCAGGCTGTAGTATTTAATCTACATCAGTAAGTGCTTCAGTCATCTTCATTTTCAGCAAGCAAGGTTGTGTCATGTGCATATTGCAGGTTGTTAATGACTCTTCCTCTTATTCTGATGCCAAGTTCTTCTACATGTAGTCCAGCTTCTTGGATTATTTGCTCAGCGTGTAGATTGAATAAGTATGGTGAAAGCGTACCACCATGACGCACTCCCTTCCTGATCTGAAACTATGCAGTATCCCCTTGTTCTGTTAGAATGACAGCTTCCTTGTCTATGTACAGGTTCCTCATGAGCACAATTAAGTGTTCTGGAATTCCCATTCTTTTCAATGTTAACCATAATTTGTTATGACCCACACAGTCCGTGCCTTTGCATAGTCAATAAAATTCAAGTAAACATCTTTCTGATATTCTTTGCTTTCAGCCAACATCCATCTGACATCAATAATGATATCCCTTGTTTCACGTCCTCTTCGAATCCAGCTTGCATTTCTGGAAGTTCTTTATCAATATATTGGTGCAATGCTTTCTGAATTCAGTAAAATTTTACTTGCATGTGGTATTAATGATATTGTTCAATAATTTCCACATTCTGTGGGATCACCTTTCTTTGGAATGAGTACAAATATGGATCTCTTCCAGTCAGTTGGCCAGGTAGCTATCTTCCAAATTTCTTAGCATAGATGAGCAAGTACCTGCAGCACGGCATCCATTTGTTGAAACATCTCATTGGGTATTCCGTCAATTCCTAGAGCCTTGCTTTTTGCCCACTCCTTCAGTGCAGCTTCAACTTCTTCCTTCAATACCATTGGTTCTTGATCATATGCCACCTCCTGAAATGGATGAAAATCAACCAATTCTTTTTGGTACAGTGACTGTAATTCCATCCATCTTCTTTTGATGTTTCCTGCATCATTCAATATTTTGCCCACAGAATCTTTCAATATTGCAACTTGAGGCTTGAATTTTTTCTTCAGTTCTTTCAGCTTGAAGAATGCCAAGCATGTTCTTCCCTTTTGGTTTTTGAACTCCAGGTCTCTGCACATTTCATTATAATAATTGACTTTATCTTCTTGAGCTGCTCTTTAGTATCTTCTGTTCAGCTCTTTTATCTGGTCATTTCTTCCATTGGCTTTAGCTACTCTCCATTGAAGGGCAAGTTTCAGAATTTCTTCTGACATCCATTTTGGTCTTTTCTTCCTTTCCTGTCTTTTTAATGATCTTTTGCTTTCTTTGTGTATGATGTTCTTGATGTCATCCCACAATTCATATGGTTTTCGGTCACTGGTATTCAGTGCTTCAAATCTATTCTTCAGATGGTTTCTAAATTCATGTGGGATATAATCAAGGTCAAATTTTGGCTCTCCTGGACTTGTTTTAACTGTCTTCAACTTCAACTTGAATTTGCATATGAGCAGCTGATGGTCTGTTCCACAGTCAGCTCCTGGCCTTGTTCTGGCTGAAGATACTGAGCTTCTCCATCGCTTCTTTCCACAGATGTAGTTGATCTGATTCCTGTGTATTCCATTTGGTAAAGTCCACATGTATAGCCGCCATTTATGTTGTTGAAAAAAGGTATTTGCAATGAATAAGTCATTGGTCTTGCAAAATTCT